GAGCGTTTCTCACTGTTGCGCTCGGTGAAAGACGCTGCCACAATCTGCTGGGTTAATGGAGGGGGGGTGTTAGAGCAGGTTATTATCATTAAAATCCAAATGGAAATAAAGAAGCAGACCTGATTGTAAAGTTAATGCAGCGTGGACACGTTTTACAGCCACTCTCAATCTCTCATAGATAAACCAGTAGATCACTTTAATTAGACAATGTGTTAATTGACTGCAGGTCCTGGGGTGCAATGTGTCAACATTAGTCTCCATCAATGACAAGCAACCCCACACACACACACACACACACACACACACACACACACACACACACACACACACTCACACAGACTCACACAGACTCACACAGACCCACACAGACTCACACAGACTCACACAGACTCACACACACACACACACAGACTCACACACACACACACACAGACACACACACACACACACACACCCACACACACACACACACCCACACACACACACACACACACACACACACACACACACACACACACACACACACACACACACACACCTGTTCTCCTTTATTTTCTCATGTGGGTGTGGATGCCAAAGGTTCTCTTAGCTAGTTCATGGAAACACAAACTGAAGGATGCTTTTGAAAAAGTTTGGAGGCATGGGAAGGACAAATAACAAAGAGATTCAAATAAACCTGAAATGATCATTAAAATCTACTTGGATTTCAAACTCAAAACGCATTAATGCTCTTTTTCTCAGCACAATATTCAGTTTTAAGGCAGAAAAGTCCACTGAGGCTTTACAGCAGCATGTGCTGCCTTCAGGGACACGTCTGTTCCAGGAAAACCCACATTCTGCCCACAGGAAAAGGAGGGGACGGGTTCTGGATGGTTCTGGGTGGTTCTGGACGGGTTGTAAATGGTTTTAAATGGTTCTGGATGGCTCTGGATGGTTTGGATGGTTCTGCTTTGGATGGTTCTGGACTGGTTCTAAATGTTCTGTATGGGTTTTGGGTGGCTCTGGGCGTTTCTGGACGGGTTCTGGTGTACGATGAGCTGAAGAAAGTCATCTAACTCTTCATGTTGTTGCATCACTGTCCAATTTGGCTAAATGTATCAACTTTCCATTTCCCTTTTAGCAGGAAGAGCCGGATAGAAAAACACCTGAAATGCCTCCAAACATCTTTAGGAGGCAGAGCAGGAATTCTACAAGGTGAGAAACAATTAGCCTCTCACATCCATTTGAAGATATTTTACCCTGAACAGCAAACAGATATCACCTTATCAGAGGACAAAAACATCAAACGTGGAACATCTAACGGTCCCTGATTGTGGAATCCACAACAG